TACAGTAAAACAGACATCTGGTTTTGGACAGTGCAAATACTTCCTTAAGGGTGCAAATTCTGTTTAGCAGAAGCCATACAGATAATTAAACTGCTGTTTCTGGCGGTTTTGAATGCAGCCAAACACCCCCAATGGCTCCTACATGTTACCTTATACAATTCCAACCTTGCAAAAATTCTGCTTCACTAAACACACCTTATATAGGGAGCAGTGAGGAACAAAATCTATTCTCTTGGATCTACTTGATTTAATAACTCAATCTATCCTATTACTGAAAGCAGAAAGCAAGTTTTGAGGGGGGGGGGAAAGAGCAATATCCTGCTCAAAAATTGACATTAAAAAAAATAAGGAAACCCACTGAATTAGCATACTCACATTCAAAGCGAAACAAGGGCAATACAGCTGTCTTATCTTAAACCAGAACAGCATCATATGATTCAGTGCTTAACCCCCCCCCCAAAGAAAACAACCACCAAAAACCCCAAAATCACATGCTTTCATATATCCTGCCGCCCAGACCAGCCAAGTCACAGGATGCAGTGTTCTCTTCAAACACATAATTTCCCTGGCTCTCCAAAAACCATCAGGCTCACTACTGTGCTTAGATACCACACCACAAAATCCTGCTGTGCCACAAAGTAAGTCTGAGTGGAGCTGATTTTCTAGGCAGAGACTAATCACTGTCTGGACTACACTTGTCAGGCCAATCCTTCTTCTCATCTGACTGTATCTCTGCTCTTTGTGGATACAACCTTGGACTCACTCAGACACAACCTTCCAAAATTCAAGGCACGTCACAGGTACTGAGAGGCAAAACTTTACAATTTCGGTAACAGTCTGAAAACATAAAAGGGAAAACAAGGAATGCAAAGGATACCATGTTCTCGTTCAACACCTCGGTAATGACGGATGAACAGCGAGTGGGTGGCAGCTATAAGTGCCCCCCTGAATAACAGAGCCCCCTTCCCCCCCTCCCCTGAGTGCATTTACCTACATAGGTTAAAAATGGCAGCATCAAGGAGGAAAAAAAAAAGCACAAATAATGCATATTAAGAGCAGCAAAGGAAGGCAAGGATGGATATTGTGAAGAGATGCAGGGCACTAATGATAAATAGAGCCAGTAGAGTCACGTACATTTCCAAGAATAAAAGACATCACAAAGATCATTAGAACCACTCAGAAGGTGTTTGCAAGATATTCCCAAAACCAAGCCAGTTTGAGTGTGGCATACGAGATCTGCAGAACAGGACAGCAGGATGCACTGCTCTTTGTTAAAGAAACCTGGCTCTTGGCTAACTTTTATTATACACAGCAAGCAAAGGATTTCCCTTGATCAGTCTGGGAAACGGGCAAACTCGGACTCCTGCAATTTATAAAAAAGCTGGGGGGGGCAAACACCATCTGCTAAAAAAAAAAAGTTACATATAAACGTCTATCTCAAAGATAAATCTCTACTGACTACGAAACACATGGTTAAATCCTGGTGTAACGTTAGAGCGCAACCAGGAGAACTCTGCACTGAAGACCTCGCTGGCTGCGCTTCCTTGCTCGGCCCTTCCAGGCACGGAACAGAAAGTCACACCAGGGCTTCTATACACACACAAAAAAAATTCCAGAGTAGCAGAAGCGTGAAAATGAGATGAGTCACTGCTGCTATCAGCAATGAACAGCAGCACTGAAGTAGTCCACCCCCAAATCTTTAACGCAGACAAGAATTTTTGGCTGCTTAGAGGTCAGACCAAACTGGCATTACTGAAAATCAAACTTACACTGAGCACTTGTAATGTTCCCATTACAAAAGGCTTGCAACACTTAAGGATAATTCTTAATAATTAGAATTTAATCTAGTGTTGACATTCTTCACTTTGTTGACTTTTATTACTTCTCTCAGAAATTACACTTTTATCACATTTTCTTCTTTTTCTTTTTCCAGTTGGAAATGGAAACATTGACTGATTCATAAGAACAAATACTTTAAAACCTTAATATCAAGTACCTCCACAGAACAGACTGCCAACCCACAGCGCAGAATCACACTGACAATTTGCATTCAATAAGGCCATGTCTACACAAAGTGTGTGCTTTTTACACAGAGACAAAGCATACAGAAGACTGCATACTCTTGACCCTGAGCTAAACTTCCAACCCCTTAATTCTTCAGCATCTGGTTAAGTTTCTGGCCTGACAAACTTGCTACGCTTTTCACACACCAAGCACGAAGTACAATTCAAAACTGAGTGCAAAGGCTTTTATGCTGCCCTCTGTATCACTCGGCTCCCCCCATTTATTCATCAACACCCCTATCGGTTGGGTTTTTTCACTCAACAATTGCCAGATTCTAGTCTACTGATACGCATTACGTTGCTTTGTACTGAACCACTTCATTTCATCAGCTCATGCGGTTCATTTTGAGCTCCGTGTGGTGTGGGAGCAGCGTAGAGGAAAGACAACTCAAGCCCAGGTTACCTGCCTCAGGTTTTATTAGCACAATATAGCAGGTAGAAAAAGACCGCCAGTGACTCAAAGGGCATCATCTGCCCAGGACAGGAAGTTATCTTAATCGTTTTAGTTCCCGGCCTTGTGATAAAAAGATCTCATTCATAACAGAAAACAGGAGAGTAAGACACGTTTTACACATAGATTCTATTCTGGGCAATGCTGGATATGTGCTGCTTAGTGGCAGGGCATTACTGATACTGCTGCACTGTAAAACAGATTCAAGGAATTCTTTAGATATATTCAACAGCCCTGAAGCTGGGTATTCGCACCGTTATCCTTTTCAAGTACATTAAGCCCTGTTACCATTCTGATAGGTCTGAGCTCCAAGACAAGCAGCATTAATATTTAATAGTTATAAAAGGTTATCTTCAGAGATAAGTGACATGGAAAAATTTTTAAAGAGTTGACATTAATTTTTCAGAGGCAAAACTATAAGAACAGCGTAGGGTCATACTCCTCCCAAAAAATTAATCCCTGCTGTCAACACTACTGAAAGCAGCACCACTTCCAGGTCATCTAAAGGCAACAAACAGGTGGATACCATCCTACCTTCATCCCTCACCTTGAGCACAGCCACCACCAGCCCCCCACACACAGGGCAGGTACTTGGGCAGTTACACCATGAGAGCTAGTTCAGGGAGTGAACTCCACAAACAGAAAATATTCAACAGACAACTTACCCCTTACCAAAAAGAAAAAAAAACAAAACAACACTTAGCTTCCAGGTGACTTAGCTCTGTGATTGTGCTCGCAAGAACGGGGAAGAGATCTGAAAGCTGCGGCCAGGATTGTGGCAGTCCCAATTTAGATCAGTTTAGACTGCTGGAGCACCACACCCTAAAACTAATTCAACTGAAAAATGCTGGGAAATGACCTACGTCTTTTTATCTATTTATTCTGTTCTTTGTCAAACTTTGTTTTTCACTGTCAAATCCTTCTTTTCCTTCCTGAAAAACTGAACTTTTAGAGAAACAAGCAAGTTCTTAATAGAAAACACAAAATGCTAATCCTTGAAACTTCCTGAAAGATACTGCTTGCCAGAAATATGATTTCAGTTCACAAAATTCAAGTTGTGGTTAAACAGAGCTCTCAAAATAGCAAAGTTGAAGTTATTAGAAGGAAGGGATGGTATTACAGAAAACGAAGCCATGTCTAAGATGAGGACAACAGAACTCCAGCAAAAGATGAGAATAAAGCCTCACTAAAAGAGGCAAAGATCTTGAAGAACAGCTTGTAAAAGGCATAAAAGCTAATACCTGAAATAGCTTTTATTATATCAAAAGAAACCACCCAGATAAATAATCAAAGAGGCTCATAAAACAAGTAAGCTACAAATACAGCCCCAAGAATGGATGCTAAATCATAGAATCATAAAATCACAGAGTGTCAGGGGTTGGAAGGGACCTCTAGAGATCTTCTAGTCCAACTCCCCTGCCAGAGCAGGATCCCCATGGGCAGCTGTAACGGACTGATTCATGGATTTTGCC